ATGGACAGAGCACCACCAGCGAAGGGGGACAGACAGCCATGCTCCTGGTGTGCCTCCCAGTGTAGATGAAGCCTTCATGCCAAGCCACAGCTGGGACTATGGACCCTTAGCCCTCTGCAAGCTTCCCCTTCCCGTCCTGCCCTTAGAAAATCCAGTCTCGTAGCCTAAAAGAACCCATAAGGTCAAACGCACACCAACAGTACTGCCTAAGTATATAGACAGCAGTTAGAAGTTGATATTTGTACATACAATTCTGTATACTTATACTAGACTGTAAATTTTCAGGACCATATTTGTATCAGACCCTATATTAGGACTATCAAAAACCACACCTGGGAAGACAGCATTAGGATGCCATTGTCTAAAAACTGTGAATCTGAAGGAAAGTAGCTGCATCACAGAAACCTGAAAAAGCAGTAGTTGCATAGGAGTGACCCACAGGTAAACAAGGTGTTGAGCTGGAGAAAACCCAAACGTTTCCATGGAAAAATAAATTAGTCACTGTAATAGCATAGGCAGAACCATTTAAAATCATGCATGAGAAAATGCAACACACCCCACTAAGTCACCCGGGCGCTTCTCCAGAATTGCTCACTAAGTACACACCTATTGCCTTAACGCCAATGAGTCTTTCAGTATTTGGCCTACAGTTCTGCTGTTTGTGTTTGGCTGGCCTGGTAACCTGTGCTTGATGACCAGCTCTAAAACCTGGCTGCGATACCAAAAGCCCCTTCTTCTTCCGTGGCTCTTCACTATCTCTACCTTTGGAAAATGATACCGGCAAAGGCCCAAAGCTTCACCCTGCAGCTTCTCTTGATGCTGCCCGGAGCATTACTAGCTCCTGCTCTGCCATACTTCAGTTGGTGCAAAGGTTCATTTCATGCAGAATCATGTTTTTTTGCTTTAGCCCTTCATCAACAACTTGCAACATCCTGTTTACCTTTTTGACTGCTGCTGCGAACTGGGTGGAAGCTTGGGGAGGACCAGTCACGGTGATTCCAGGACACTCACAGCTAGGTTCCACCATCAGGATTATTTTTCCTATTTATGTTACTTTGCTTATAGTAACAGTGGATTTCAGTTACTATTTAAAATACCCCATCAGCTTTTATTTTCAGTACCTTGAATAACTTTATCTCAGCAAACTCTGTCACGCTGCTGTTCACTATGCACAGCACAGGAGCTTGCACAGCTCTTTGGAGCTCCATAGGGAACAATTTAGCAACTGCTGACGCTATTTTCCACGTAGTAATGTCATGCTGAGCAAGCCAGAATTTCAGGATGCATAATTTATCAGCTGCCCATATTTATTCTGGATTGAATGGATTTTGCTTTTGTCCAGAATACACAAGCTGGTTCCAGAGAGCAATATGTGCAAGCACTGTGAGCCAACCACAAATTACTGCCATACTGACACAAAACCACCCGTGTGCATCAACAGTATTACAGCAAATACCATTGTGTAGGTTTTAGGAGATACGAGCAGCCTTTGAAGTAGAACAGGTCACGGCTTCCACATGGGTAACCAGCACAGGCAGCACACTGCTCACCACACCTTTCCTATCTATCCAACCTTTCTGCAGTGCAGCAGCTGAGTCCTAGGTTGCAGCGTGCTTCTGGCTACAAACGCAGAGCAAGGACCAGAAAACTGAGTGGGAGAAGGCAGAGACCAGGTGTATGACACGAGCACGAGTGAGGAAGACAACCCAGAAACTGGCATTATCAGGGAAGGAGCAATCTGTTTTAATCATCCCCTTTTTTTCAGATTTCCACAGATGTTCGGAAACCCTAGTAACAGCACTGATGTTGCACGTAATTTGGAACAGCTGGATTACAACCAAACTCAAGTGTGGTTCTTCAGAACCAAATCATTGTTTGACTGAAACAGAGCTGGGGCAATACAAATGAGGAATAGCATGTGTTCCTTGTTATTGGTTGTTTTTTCCAGGAGCTTACTGCAGATAGTGTGATAGTTCTAAGTGTAAAGTGCTATTCAGACATCATTAACAAATCATTTACATCTACAGAAAATGATGTGCTCCTCTTCAGTTGCAGAACAGACTATTTAAGCCTCTATTCATACACTTCCCCAGAGAGGCACTGTAATTATGCTTGAGATTTCTAACATTACATTATACTACCACTGTCTCAGAAACACAGTCAACTACAAAATCCATCAGCTAATCTGGGACTAATCAAGTGCCTTCTCTTTGTTCCAGGTGATTAAAGTGAAGGTGGGAAGAAAACTACCACCACTCTGCCTTTTACTTGCTTACATTGGAGCTAGAGGAGACACTAAACACACGCACAGCCCAAACAGGTATCACTCCTCACAAGAAATCCAACACTGCATGCCTGCACTAGCAGGCATTTCAAAGCTGTAATAAACCCCCCCTCTTATTGTCCCATATATTTTCCAGTAAAGGGCTTGTTCAAAACAAACAAAACCAAACCCCTGAAGACAGAAGACCAAGAACACCCAACCTACATGATACAAGTTTCTCAAATGAGCTCCAAGAAATGTGACACCTACATGCATGAACCGACTCCCCACCTACGAACAAACCTCCAGGCTAGCAGAGAAGGTGACTACCGTTTCCTCTTTCCTCCCCACCACTAGCAAGTTTTCATACTCCTGCACTGTGTACGAGCTACAATCTCATCACTGTGTATTGCTGCTGCTCTTGTTCCTTCTGCTCTCTCAGTTAGCTGTGGCTGTCGCTGGTCCTGGATTACAGGGATAACCACATATACACGACGTGCGTCTCGTGCCCGCAACGCTTATCAGAGTGCACTGCTAAGGGTACAGGATGGTACTAAGCTTTGCTGTGTGAAAATCCTTAGAACTAACCTCTTTAGACTTTGCAGATATATATTTGATGCAACTTGTGAGTTGTCTGCGTGTGCATTGTGTTCCTCTCAGATTCTGCATCATGCCTGACACATCTTCCCTGGCGTATCACTTCCCTTTGCTGCATACAGGTGTAGAAAATGAAAACCAGGACTCTTACAGACTGCCTGCTGCGTACTTTGGCTAGCAATGTTAGATTCCATTTTACCTATAGACATTGCCCACTCACTGCCAGCTTTACTCTTCTTACTCTCGTTTGGCTCAAGAACTGCTTCCTTCATTACTTCCCCCCCACGCCCCCCAACCTCCGTGCCCCTGAGAAAAACACCACAGCCAGGGACTACGGAACACAGCTTGAAATTCTGCCCTGTGACTTTTCTTCACCAGGGCAAAGCGCTGCTGCGTGCCGCTGACCAGCTGGAGCCAGAGCCCAGCCAATGCTGTCAGACACTACCCATGACCAACTCACCAGTAATTTCAGTTCAAAGCCCACACCCTGTGCTGCCCTGTGTCCAAATGATCCCACTTTGTTCGGTACTTCCCAGGAAGTCCTTCACCTTGTCCTGAGGACAAGGCATGTAACCATTTCATGAGTCATATTTTCAGGTTGCTCTTCCTTACACGTACACGCAAGATTTTTCTCGCCCCCACAGTAATTTCCGGCAAGTGATCATTACCCCGATCATCAAGACACTTAACCAGGCACTGAGTTCAAGAAAAGAACAGAAAAAAGTGCTTAAACACGTATGTAAATTTAAGCACACTGGTATTTCCTGACAAATCAGGACCTAATAAAAATGCATTAACCAGAAATACACAACAAAAAAAATCTATGGATATCATAACTTTTTATTTAAGTTAGCTGAGGATGCTTATTTGGCTTATGTTTATCCTTGACTTTAAAGAGACTGACTGCAAATAATATAAAAAAATAGAAAACGTAAAATTAATCAACATTTTCAAAATTGTCACAAATTTTGAAAACACTTGTATAAATTCTGCAAAGTTTGTATACCCTTAAAGGGGTATCATTTAGTTACTATATATAATGATTTTTGAAAATATTAGTACTTTACCCTAAAGTTTAAACATAGACATATTCATGATGCATGTAATTTCAAGAGGGTATCAAAAGTGATATGGTTAGAAAAATATACATACTTTTGCTCCTGGAAAAGAACAGGTCATTTGAAATACCCGCCAAATAAAATACTAAAAAAGCCTCTCCACAGATTTTTTTCACAGTCCAACATAAAATGTATGTTTATGTACAGCTTACGCAATCTGTATTTTCAAAAGATATAGCCAAAGTTTCACCAGTACAGAAAAAGGTAATCTGTTACTGCTCTCTAACCTGTTGGCTGCACTGATGCAACTGATTGTTTAGGCAAGCCAAAATAGGAGAGCCATACAGCGATACACAAAGCAATCATAAGAAAGGTAAGGAAAAATGAAAATACACAAGAACAAAGGAAAGCATATTGATACAAGATAACATTGCGAGGAAGAGTGACCAACAGTAAAAGACAGGAACTCTTTAGTGGCATGCAGTAATTTCTACAGGAAAAGAAACATACTCCAAGTATTAAAAGGACACTTTTGTGGTACTTATGAATTTTAAGTAGTACTAAGGATTACTTTACTGTCTGCTGGAAGTAGCCTGGACTAAATTTGTTTCAGTGGATGTGGTTTGTTGCTGTGCTTCAGTTTGTGGCAGCGTTAAACTTCAATTGCACACACCCCAAGTGAACCAAAACAAAACTCCTAAGTTTTGAAAAGGAAGTGAGATAGGAAGAAAGTTTCAAAAACATGTGCTTTCAGTACCTGAGTGCAATGCAGTAGCCAACATAACTATCGTTTGATTATTACTTGTTTAAATGAATTCTGATGCAAAGAATGATTTCAGAAGAGCAACATGGCACTTGCAACAGTGACTGAAGTTAAAGACCTGGTGGCACTTCAAGTTCTGAAATCCTTTACAGTGTCCTTTTAAGTGTCAGTAGACTAGTATCTTAGCTGCAACTGAAAAAGAACAGAGGCAAATCCTAATGAAATAACCCAAATCAAGAATGTTACTATTTCACAGTAATAAAGAAACAGTCCATGGAACTACTGAACAGAAAAAAGCATGAAGGATAATAGCAGCCTATGGTTTACAGTTTTCACTTTTCAGTTTATTAATATTAGTGGAGCACTTGGCAATAGATAAAGCAAGGAATGAAATTCTGACAAAACTGGCAATTATCTACCACATGTCAACACTTAATTATAGTCCTTGTAAACAGCTAACTCCTTTTTGAACTTCAATTTTAAAGAAAGGAAAATTTACATATAATATATATGTATATAAACACAAAACCAAAATTAAGTCAAATCCTTATCAAGGAAATCACATTTCGAAGAGAAGAAAACACAATGTTAAATAGTACATGTCCAAAGATTTTGAAGGCATCGCGATTTTCATGTTTTCTTCCTCCAGTCATTTCCCCCTGGATTTTAATAGACTAAATACTTCATTTCAGAGTAAATAAGTGGAAATATTATAGAGCAACTCCGGTAAAGAATAGCTCCACTACTGAAAAATGCTCGAGGCGTGGTGATCCAGGACTCGGTCTTAAAGCAAAAATAAACAGCGTATAATGCCACAGCAAAGAAGTGGCCAATCAGTACCATTGGTTTAGGAGATAACCTGTATTAAAAATAAATAGATAAAACATGTAAATAAAGGGAATCAGAAAGCACTGGGAGATTTTCATTTTACAACTAGAGATCTCCACTCAAGATTACATACCCCCTTCTGATTTAGGCAGCTCTGGTCCTGCCATCTCAACTAAAAAATACTAACTCGCTTGTCTTGGAGCTGCTACACACTGTATTCCCTTCTACAGTGCTGCTTTCTGTTCATTTCCAGTACTCTGTCTGCCTTTATCAACCCCCAGGGCATTATTCTCAACAAGGCTCTATCAGTTTTAGCTTTCATTCCAAAAAGGGAGAAGGATAAATGCACACATTCTCACATGTTCAAAGTAGTACGATTTATTGTACATTCACTAGTTTCTGAGGGGTCATTCAAAACACCTTGATAGTTACCAACTTCCCGGTTCCTTATGCTTTTTTATGGGAGACCTCATCCTTCACTATTCTCAACTTATCAAGCATGAAATGTCTCCACCAGCTCCTATGCTAGTCTGGACCCCTCGACCTCATTCAAACTCCCATGGCACCTACATTAACTTCTCTCCAGCTTTTAGTGATATTTTTTACAAAGGAAAAAAAAAGAGTCAGCATTTAAAGACATAGCTTCTAATAAAACTCCAACCTTTAGTATAATCCTGAAAATACAGGCTTATGTAGACCGTTCTCCCTGTGCAGAGCTGACTGATAGTGAACAATGCAGATCCTCACAGAGACTCATCAATGCTCGACCCAGCTCACATTAACTATTACCAGTGCACTGAACTTACACAGATAGCAATCCAACAGGACCCGAGACACATTTTCCACCAAGCCTGAAGTAATGGAAACAGGCTTTCTTTAGCTGGTGCAAGGAATCTACAAAGTGAATTAAAATGACTCAACAAATATATTCAACACATACCAAAAACTTTTTCAGTATACATAACAGTGATATTAAATCCAGGACTTTGGTAGCTGTTGTTCTGTTAAATACAGCTCGATTTTGAGCTAGTTTTAAGTAAAGGATAGTCTTAGAGAATATTTACATATTCTTGAATTAACTGACACAAGAACAAGCGTTTTCTGTTTTTTCTTTATTTGTGGGGTTTTTCTTTGGTTTTGTTTTTTTAATACTAACTCCAGACTTGCCTTCATGTTGCTAAAACTCCGTTTACCTAACACTACAACTAAACAACTAGGCAGAGAACATAAGCTAACTCATTAAAATCCTTTGACTGACATATTCTTAATATATATACACACACATATATACACACAAACACATGGACATATGCTCACACACATACACATCCCCTCCCCAGGCATATTTATTTACCAAGATGTAATTAGTCAGAAGTTATCTTTAAAATATATTTACCATCTGTGGCAGCAAAGAGCTCATAAAGTGCCTGGGCAAGAACATTCACTACAAAAGAATGAGATTTTTTTCTTGACCAGTAAAATGTTCTTTTTGCCTGAAAAAGGGGAAGAAAAATTATTTCTGTCAGTAAATACAGAAGAACATTCAAAAGATTCCCAAAGAGGTGGTAAGAGTCATCATACTCATGTAAAAATGTAGAGTGGATTTAGTGATATGCTAGATCAGTTCCAAGCTAGGTCATTACAGAATTTTGGAAACTTGTCGAACCAGTTATCTAGACTCCTCTTACACTAAATATAGAAAAAAATGGCAGTTCCAGGTTGTGCTTCATCTCATTCTACAGTAGGTGGCTGAGGTAGGTCAGAAACTTGGAGGATAACACTCACCTAGTTCTCTCTGTTGACTGAGACTAAGTAGGAAACAACTGAAAGTCTGAGGTGACTAGCTGAGATATGAGCGTCTGCATTTCATCAGGTAAGTCCTGTACTGTCCTGACATTCAGGGTCCCTCTAAGTGCTTCTCAATTTTCAGATACACTTTTTGAATCATTTACTTGTAGTCTATAATTATTCTAGCTGTAATTTAGCGAAGACAATATGCCTAACTCAATTAAAAGCTGTAAACAGACAAATAAGAAATCTTATCTATTCATCAGAATTTTGGGTCTAAATCTCACTGAAAAAATAAGCCTAGCATCAACACCAATGGTGCTGATTCCTAGGAAAGGATGTCTTCTAGCTTACTACTGTAAGATTAATGCAGCAGTCAGGAGGCTAGGGGAGCATTGAGATGCTTCTTGAAAAACTTGGTACACATGCTCATTATTCTCTAAGTACCACTCACACAAGTGTAATGGTCCAACCCCACCTCATTTAAAATCAATCTATGTTACAAATACACTGCTAATATGGGAATATCTGGTTATACTAGCAAAGCATGCTGACTAGACACAACACCCCAGTCTCCTTAAGCAAAGCACGACAGGTCATTAAGCACAGTTTTGAATCTGCCTTTTTGCCACACAGCCATAGCACTCACAAATCACAGTTCCATGTACTGGTGAATGTCTAATGCATGATTTATCTATCCAAAGCTTTGAAAACTGCTGTGCCTCACTGTACTGGCTTTGTGTGGTAAGGTTTTGGTAGCGGGGGGGATTACAGGGGTGGATTCAGTGAAAAGCTGCTGGAAGCTTCCCCTATGTCCAACAGAGCCAATACCAGCTGGCTCTAAGACGGACCTGCCACCGGCCAAGGCCGAGCCAATCAGTGATGTGGTAGCACCTCTGAAATAACACATTTAAGAAGGAAAAAAAGTTGCAGGGCATGCAGAAATGGCAGCCAGAGAGAGGAGTGAGAACATGTAAGAGAAACAACCCTGCAGCCCCCCAGGTCAGTGCAGAAGGAGGGGGAGGAGATGCTCCAGGCACTGGAGCAGAGATTCCCCTGCAGCCCGTGGGGAAGACCATGGTGAGGCAGGCTGTCCCCCTGCAGCCCAGGGAGGTCCACGGGGGAGCAGATATACACCTGCAGCCCGGAGAGGACCCCATGCCGGAGCAGGTGGGTTCCTGAAGGAGGCTGTGACCCCGCTGGAAGCCCACGCTGGAGCAGGGTCCTGTCAGGACCTGTGGCCCCATGGAGAGAGGAGCCCACGCTGGAGCAGGTTTTCTGGCAGGACTTTTGACCCCATGGGGGACCCACGCTGGAGCAGTGTGCTCCTGAAGGACTGCAGCCCATGGAATGGACCCATGCTGGAGCAGTTCATGAAGAACTGCAGCCTGCGGGAAGCACTCATGTTGGAGAAGATCATGGAGGACTGTCTCCCATGGGAGGGACCCCACGCTGGAGCAGGGGAAGAGTGTGATGAGTCCTGCCCCTGAGGAGGATGAAGTGGCAGAGATAACGTGTGATGAACTGACCATAAACCCCATTGCCCGTCCCCCTGCGCCGCTGGGGGGAGTAGGTAGAGAATTAGGGAGTGAAGTTGTGCCCGGGAAGAAGGGAGGGGTGGAGGGAAGGTGTTCTGAGATTTGGTTTTATTTCCCCTTACCCTACTCTGGTTGATTGGTAATAAATTGAGTTAATTTTCCCAAGTTGAGTCTGTTTTGCCTGTGACGGTAATTGGTGAGTGATCTCTCCTGTCCTTATCTCGGCCCACAAGCCCTTTGTTATATTTTCTCTCTCCTGTCCAACTGAGGGGAGTGCGGGGGGGAGTGTGATTCAACGGCTTTGGTGGGCACCTGGCATCCAGCCAGGGTCAACCCACCACACTCACAAATAACTTACATGTCCCTGAGTTGCATAACCTTAAAAGTGTGTCATTAAATTGCAGCAAAAGCTGCCTAAAATAAGTCCAAAATAAAGCTGCACCTTAAGAACATCAGAATCTTCATAGAGGTCTGGAATATCCTGGAGCAAACTTCTCCATATTTTAACATCATTTAAAATAACACTCATTCCTCCACCAGTTAGAGGGTGTCTTATATTATATGCATCACCTAAAAGAAGAACACCTAGGTAGAAGAGAAAAAATAAAGGGATACTGTATGATCATTACATAATCTTAGAACTCAAACTGTCTCTTTTTTTAAAAGTCAAACTACTCAGAATTCATTCCCACCAGAAAATAAGATGACTGACGACTAGAAATTTAAACAGAAAAAAGAAAGTGAAAAAAAAAAGGATGTCTTTAAATTAAGAGGCTTAAAAAGGTGTCAAAATATTTCTTTCCCCTATACGTATGCATGTGTGTGCATCAAAGAACACAAACACACACACACACACACACTTCTAAAAGTAATTTCTTTCCTTTGTTGATCAAGTTTTCCCTAAAAAGACTACACTTGTATAAGCTTGAGCAACTGAGTGATTTAAACTTAAAAATAAAGCAGGCACTGATTTGAAGTCCAGTGTCAATATAAACATTCTAGTTAAACTATGCCCAAGGTACACATTTTCAAAATATTATTTTTCATAGAAGAATTATGAGACAGTTGTATTGAACAACAAATATACATCTATGACAATAAAGCCCTAAGTCCCAGAAGAAGTTTATAATGCCTTTTTTTCCTCCTTTTATTTCATAATACACACCTTTTTTGTTTACAGCTGAAGGAGGCAAGAAGCTGGCTGGCATAGTCCTTAAACGATCATTCTGAACTGCTGTTAAGAATGGTTCCTTTAAATGATCTGCAATAACGAAGTATTTTAGTTACACTACTTAGACAGAGTCTAAAATAATTTGCACACAACCCATTTTAACCTCTTCTTATAGATATAATCCTTCTGAATTGCTAACCTAGATGTGAGCTGAACAAACTGCTATGTGATGTGGAATCAAAGAAGGGTGAATGCTTACAGAAACAGTAACTGTGCACATGGAAAAAGCCCACACAGTTCAATGGATTCAATGAAATGTGCCTTTTTTGGCACATTTAATTGTGACAATTATGATGGAAATCTTTCTAGACTTACCAGGTAGTTGTGGATGAACATTTTCAATCATGTATTCTTTTAAATTTTTTGGCATTTCCCCTCGAATATCAACAAGGACCCGAGTCTCAGTTGAAGAAATCTGATAGATTAGCACTGGACTAGTTTTAGCTAAAACAAGTTCAGCATAATTAGCTTTAAACTGTGGTGCATCCTTAAAAAGAAAAGAAGGGGGAGAAAGATTGAGACTGATCAATGAAAGAATATTAAACTTCAAATATACAAAATCATTTTCTGAAATACTTTGAAATAAATTCCCATATCATATTAAGTTTGTGTTATTTTTCTCTTTCAATGAACAAGAGAAGTGTTTTCAAAAAGAAAGTTCTGAACTTCAGTGTAGTTACAATTCTTTTGGCAATACATTTTAATATTTACTAGAATATATGTTGTTACACATTTCATTTGAATATTTAATACATGCCATTGAAAACCTGTTATATAATCTATGTAATAGCTTTCAGTACAATAATTTTGTTTTCTTTTCATAAAGAAAGTAGTGGGAGGGAAAGAAATACACTAGTCTGTACACAACTACGTGGAGATACCAACTGAGGAAGAATCATAAGGTCCTATCTAACTAGGTCTTAAGTTTCCAAAAGTTGAGAAACAGGAGGCACTTGGGCAGTGGTAACTGGGTTAGGGACCCAAAAAGCACTGAAGTTCCTCCAAGTCAGTGTTCCCAGTCCAGTGAAAATTCTGTAGTTTTGGTTCCTCCTCCCTTAATTGTTTTTGCTGTTAGTGCAATAGCTAATGCAGCAGCCACAGAGGGAAAGACTCAGCCAGGATTTCTACCCGGGTTCTCCAACCACTCAGCTACCAACCTAGATTCCCACTGTCGTGGTTTAACCCCAGCCAGCAACTAAGCACCACACAGCTGCTCACTCACCCCCCCCCCCCAGGGGGGTGGG